CTTGTAATCCACGTTTCCGTGAGGCAAAGCACTGCACACTTCTTCATCTCTTCTGAGGCGCCCGCTCTCAGACGAAGTAAATCCATCTTGTTGTCCAACGAGCGGACATTCGACAGAAAGAGAGACGGCATGGGGAGTTTACCGGCTTTAGCGTTAGCTCATAGCCTCACCATAACCCCCGCCCGGCATCCTCTCCTCTTAAGCCGGGAGCAGCGCGTCCTCTTCTGCCCGCTGGAATGCCTCTGCTGCAGCTTCCAGGTAGATGACTTTAAGATCTGCATTCTGCCGAGTGTAGTTTTGAGTTTGTTGCTGATTTCTGCTATATTTCGTGGAAAATCCGATCCTATTCTCATCAGTTCGGTTCGGCTATAGTTCACACGCATAAATCGCGCGGAGTCAGGCACAGAGTCAATATCAAAACTTCTAAAAACTGGGATGGTACCGGGAGCCTGTGAAGCTGCAACTGCTCTGAGCGCGGCCATCTTGCAAGTAGGGGTGAAAAAGAGAGTCCAGGCAGGATGGAGTGAATGGAGAAAAGTTTCAGGGGTGATTTGCAACAAAAGAGTGTCAGCTAAGGTCAAAGGAAAAGTTTATGACAGTGGTGAGACCAGCTATGTTGTATGGTCTGAAGACAGTGTAACTGACAAAAGACAGGAGAAAGAACTGGAAGTGGCATAAATGAAGATGTTGACGTTCTCCTTAGGAGTGACAAGGATGGATAAGATTAAGAATGAGATCATCAGAGGTACAGCACAGGTTGAACTGTGGGATATCTCCCACATTTCAAGTTAGTGAGGCCAGACTGAGAAGATTTGGGCATGTCCAGATGAGGGACAGTGGGCATATTGGTAGATGGATGTTAGAAATGCAGCTGACAGGAAAAAGACAAAGAGGAAGGCCAAAGAGGATATATATGGATACAGTTAGAGAGGACATGGAGGTAGTTGAAGTGAGTACAGAGGATGCAGAGGACAGAGTGAGATGGAGAAGGATGACTCGTTGTGGCGACCCCTGAATAGGGAAAAACCGAAAGAAGAAGAAGAAGAAAGGTCATGAAGCTATGCCCTGACATAACTTTTAATATCAATAGATGAAAATGGAATAAACAAACTAAACTTTAGAGTCAGTTTGCAATGTTTCCAATCATTAGCAGCAGAGAATTGAAATGACGAATTGCTAAAAGAAGTTCATTCTTTGGGGGCACTAATTATTATAGCTGCTGGAACTAAAATGACAAATGTTACTATGAATACTGAGTAATACACAGATGTAGGCTGGGGTTTTGCCAATTTGAGTTTTATAAATCAAAAGAAACCAGTGTGTTTGTCTGTGTGAGTGACATTTCACCAAGGAGTTCAGAGTCCAGAGATGAGTGCTGAAGGGAGCTCTGGTGTTAGATCACATGGCAGCATGGCAAAGAGTGACCAACAGATGGTGGGGGGATTGGGATGCAGATAGTCAAAAATAGATTGCCATTTTAACCAAAACATGAATTTGTGTTTCAAAAGAGAAACCCTATACTGGGTTTACTTCTAAAGAGCTAAGTGTTGATTTTATTGAACAAAAGTGAGAATTTGAGCCAAATCCCAAGACATTTCTATCAGTTGACAAGCTGAATTTCTGAACCATCCAACAAAAGGATCTGAGGGCAGTCAATTTAAGAGTGAGTTCTCTTAAAAAGTGTGCATTTTGTTTTACTTGTATCCAATTTTAAATGAAGGTCTAATGAGGCATGTTCAATAATATTAAAGCTAATTTGCAGTATAGATAACTGCAAATCATCTCTCGCATTAATATCCTCTCGCATCCACAGATGGTTCTAAGAAGAGCTCAACCAGTACCAAGGGGCTCTCTTTGCCCACAAATACCTCAATGCTTCTGCATCAATAGATGATCTTGCGAGAGTTTCTAGAAGTATAGATAACAGTTACATTGTTGTTATGGAGAATTACATTGTTGTTATGGAGGATTACAAGTGTTTGACTAAGTATAGAGCCTTGGGGAACATCTTTTTAAATGTGTATCAGGTCAAACCCTGTCTGACACCCAGAACAATAGTTGCTGGACCAAGCTACACAGGTTTCTGACAAGCTACAGTAATATTTCTTAAACTTCCCAGCAGAATGAAATGATCTACACAGGCTCAAGTACCTTTGCTAAGTCAACAAAAACAGCTATTCTGGTCATTTTTTTTAATCATATTGAACATGACTGACATATAATAGAAATAGAATGTTAAAGCATCAAAGGGATGACTACCTTGTAGAAATCAGCCTGAGGAGGTGGTGGTTCATTTTTTTCCTGGGATGATTGCAGACATTCTGCGCATTGTTTCTATTGTTAATATGTGGTTCCTGTCTTTAATGATTGGCCTGTGTCTTGTTTTATTGGTGGTTGCTCAGGTAAAATGAGTCTATTAAGAAACTTTCCTGCATTATTTTAGGCTTAGAAGTTATTGGTTTGGTTTTACTAATAAAACAAGAGGCTTTACTTTCCTTTCTTTTCCCCAAAAATATGAGGATTTAATAACCTTATGTCTGCCTATCTATATTTGTTCTGCATGTTGACTTTCTGGAATTGAACCAAACCAGACAAGATTGGCTTTGTGAGCCATAAGCTGATTTATTTAAAACTGGAGCCTCAACAAGTGGGAGGAATTATGGGTGAAGACAGCAATTTGACCAGAAGTTATTTTTAGACCTCATTTATTTATAGAAAACACTAACTCTGTAAGAGTGAAAAAAGAATACGATAGGTGGACCTGCTGATAGGAAGGTTTTTACTCACCAGTTTTTCTGCAGACAGCTGGTCCTTTACAGGAGGACAGACTTGGCTCTGAACAGATTGGTCTGCTGGGGAACATGAAGGCCCCGAGGAGTCTAAGCCCAGGCTCTGACCAGGGGTTGGAACTTTGAGCAAAGGCTTTGCTGTCTGTGCAGTGGTGGAACCAGAGGATGAAGAGCTGAACAGAGGTTTAGCAAGGGAGCAGGAGAGTATGGGTGATGGGTAAAGAGGAGACAGCTCCTGGTGTGGAATCGATGACATACTTTGAGGGGATGTTGATGCAGAAGCATTGAGGCATCTGTGGGCAAACAGAGCCCTCTTGACACTTGTTGAGCTCTTTTTGGTACCATCCATGGATAGGTGCATTAGAGAAGAGTTGCTTGCGAGCTCAATCAGCTGGCCTCCTTTTGGACTATCCTCATCATCAGTGTGAGCGTTTCCATCTGTAGACCTGCTCCCTCCATCATGTCTACCACTACTCTCCTTTGCTTTGTCATGAGCTGCATCTATATCCACTTTTTCTACCAGCTTCTGAACATCCGTTTGTTGATCTATAAAGTCTCCTAGAACAATAACAACAAAAACACATTTAAGGTCACAAACCATGATTAGAAATGAAAGTTATAGCATTCTTTGAATGCACTTGCTTTCTTACATCACAGAGTTTTATATTACAGAAAGGCCATCTTATGATAGTTGTAGCCATTTTGGTCACAAGATAAAAATAATTTTAGGTGCAATTTTATGTAAGATATCACATTTAGAGTATTTGTTAAGAATGACTCTCAGCTCATACCACAGCAAATTTTAGCTTTATATATGTAAAAGTGCCTAAGTTACAGACATTTTTGTAAAGACTAATGTTGATTAGTTGTGGCACAGCTGTGGAGATAAGAGTGTCTAGTTCGGAGACCTTAGGGTTTCATCTCTGCTTTTTGCAGATGATGTGGTTCTGTTAGCATCTTCAGACTATGACCATCATATACTGGAGTGGTTCACAGCCAAGTGTGAAGCGGCTCAAATCATCCTCAGTAAAGAGGATGTCAGGTTGTCAGGTTGATAAAAGTGTTAATTTAAAACTAAAAAAGTCCATGCTCAATAATCCAGGTATACAATCCAACAATTTTCAGTCAGGTCATCTGGACAGGTTTTTTTTTTTGTTGTTGAAACGTTTCACCTTCCATCCGGAAAGCGTCATCAGTCAAGTAAACACACAACACAAAACTGATTCTTTCCCAAACGCCTTACTCCAAAGTGGAACAAACGTTGGTTACATACTGTAACCCCAGAGTCTATGAGTATAGGCGCAGCCCTTTAAGGCTATCACTAGTGGGTTTATCCCTTTGTGCGCAGCACTGAAAACTTTTGTCCGTGCCCACCGGCTGTGTGGACCCCACCCCCGGTCCGTATAAATTACGGTGAGACCGGGCAATCGGCTCCCAAATAGCTTTTTTTCTTCAGCCATTTAGGAACCAGTGAGGCCCAGAGTTTAAAGGACTGCGCCTATACTCATAGAAAATGAGGTTACAGTACGTAACCAACGTTCTATTTCATATAGGCTTCGCCCTTTAAGGCTATCGCTAGTGGGTTAAAAGAAAAGCAGGATGTAGTCTATGCCTCACTGGGTCCATTCAAACACAAACATGAAGCACCTGCTCGCACAAAAAACATTTCATCACTCAGCCTTCTGTGCGCGTAATTATGTGCTCCATGCGCAGCAGCGCACCAGAGAAAATTGATCTCTGGTGAGGAAAAAGGCTGATGTGAATAGGAACAACGGAGGTTACAACAGATCAGGACAACAGCTCCTCAGGATGAACCAATTAATAACAATAAAATCAGCAGTCATGAACTTGTGACTGATAATAAATATCTCACACTGTGACTGCATGCAGGCAGGTGTGAGCTCAAAAGTGAGGCTCCATGAAACAAATAATAATCATTCTGTCAGAACCCTGAGAACAGAATGGGTCATGGAGAAAGTGGAAACATCACATAGATAAAAACGAATAAATTAATACGGCGATGACCAGGCAGCCGCCATACAAATATACTCCACTGTCATCCCTCCATGCAGAGCCGTGGAGGATGAAAACCCTCTGGTGGAATGTGCTCTGAGATTCTCTGGAGGATCCAGCCGAGATGAACTGTAAGCTTCAGAAATAGCCTCACACAACAAGTGTGAGAGGAGCTGGGTGGATAGAGGGCGTCCTGAAGAGCTGTCCATGTAATGCACGAACAGTGAGAACAGCTGAGAGTGGCCGTGGGCGCCACATAACATGAAAGCGTGCGCACGGGACAGAGGAGGTGAGATGTTGCGTTGAGATGTTAGGTCCCACTGTGGAGCTAGTGGACGTGACACAGGTCTGTGTCTCCGTACACCTTTCAGAAAATGCTTCATCAGCGAGTGGTTAAAAACTGTTTTGTCACCGAAACCCTCATGACAGGAAGAAATAGCTGCAGCATAAGTTTTAATTGGTGAAGATTCTCAGTCATCCAGGACATGATGAATTCAAAAAGCGTTCAATACAAAAACAACTGGACTTTATTTGTAACAGAAGACGTTTCGCTCCTCATCCGAGGAGCTTTCTCAATTCAAAGAGCAGAGAGTGAGAGATACAGGTTATAAGGCTGAGTGAGATAAGACACACACACACACATAAGACACACACACACACATATGTAGATTGGCAGTTCACACCTAAACACCTAAACAGTAGGTCTTTGTTCCTCTAATTCACTGACGAGGCCCCTCTGTTCCCATCAGGTGTGAAAACCGGCTGAGAATCTGTTTTAAAGTTGCATTATATGTTTTTGAAAGTGGAAATCTGAGGCCTCCTCCTCTGTTAAGAGACGGCTTTTCTCTTTTTACATAAATTGCTTCCTTCACCCCCCTCTCAAACCATCTGTGTTCTCGGTCCAAAATGTGCACATTTTGGTCCTCAAAAGAGTGTCCCTTATCTGTGAGGTGGAGGTGAACTGCGGAATTTTGTCCAGAGGAGGTGGCTCTCCTGTGTTGAGTCATGCGTCTGTGAAGAGGCTGTTTAGTTTCTCCAATGTAGAGGTCTGGACAGTCCTCGCTGCACTGGACCGCATACACTACACCACTCTGTTTGTGTATGAGTGTTTTGTCCTTAGGGTGGACCAGCCTCTGTCTGAGAGTCCTGCTGTGTTTGAAATGTACTGGGATCTTGTGTTTGTTGAAGATCCTTCTGAATTTCTCTGATACTCCAGCAACATAAGGGATGACAATGTTTTTCCGTCTGTTGTTCTCCTTTTTATGTTTATTGGTGTGCTTTGTAGATTTCCTCGCTGACTTGACAAAAGCCCAGTTAGGATATCCACATGTTTGAAGAGCTTCTTGAACGTGTTTCAGTTCCTTTTCCTTCCCTTCTGTCTTCGTGGGGACGCATTCGGCCCTATGTTGTAAAGTTCTGATGACAGAGAGTTTGTGTTCCAGTGGATGGTGGGAGTCAAACAGAAGATACTGGTCTGTGTGGGTTGGTTTTCTGTAAACTTCAATGTTGAGGCTGTCCTCTCTCTCCATCTGAACCAAACAGTCCAAAAAAGGCAGCTTGTTGTCGTTTGCATCCTCTCTGGTGAACTTGATGTTGTTATCGACCGAGTTAATGTGTCTGGTGAACGCTTCTATTTCCTTAGCTTGGATTTTGACCCAGGTGTCATCCACATAACGGAACCAATGGCTTGGCGATGTTCCCTCACAGGAGTGTAGGGCTCTCTGTTCCACTTCCTCTATGTAGAGATTGGCAACAATGGGTGACACTGGAGATCCCATGGCACAGCCGTCTTCTGTCTGTAAAACTGTCATTGAACTTGAAATAAGTGGTGGAGAGGCAGAGATCCAACAGGGTGCAGATCTGGTCTGTGGTGAAGTTGGTCCTGTTGATTAAGTCCTTGTCTTGTAGAAGTTGTTTTCTGACGGTTTCTACTGCTTCAGAGATGGGTATGCATGTGAAAAGAGAAGTCACATCATACGATACAAGGGTTTCTCCTGGGGTTAGTTTCAAGTGTTGAACTTTGTTA